ATATCTGATTGCACACTTCTGTTTTACCTTTCAAGCATTCGATTTGGATTTTGGAATGTCATAAAGCTATGCGGTCAAAAGTAATCTTAATACTTTTTAGTGAAAATGCATTTATATTTTTAAAATGCAGAATCTTGCGAATGCAAAATCATCGAAATCCGATCACCTCCACATCTGAATGTTTTTTTTTAACTGGTCATGGTGTTTTAACTGGTCATGGTGGCATTTGGATTAGACAGATATTACTGAATAAGTATTAGACAGATATTACTGTATAAGTATAATAGTATTACTGGAATTCCAAAAAATCATAACGCCTACAATGCTAGTAATATTAAGTGAAAATGCATTAATATTTTTTCAAAATCAAGAATCTTTCGGATGCAAAAACCTCGAAATCAGACGTTTAAATCTGAATGTTTTTAATTTGTAGCGGTGGCATTTGGATAAGACAGGTTTTACTGTATAAGTATAATAGACATTAATAGTATTACTGGAATTCCAAAAAATCATAAGGCCTATAGCAACAATCATGTGAACTTCAGGTCAAAATTCCAATGCTCCCTTGGCCAATCAAATCAGTTCATTGCATTTGTTTCATCAATGCTCTCAATATCATAATTATTCCACATGCAAATACTGTACTACCGGTTAATTTGCGAGTTTAAATTTCATGAATTTTGAGAAATACCAATTTTGCGGCCATTAAATTTTGCGGATATCAAAGGTTTAACTTCCATTATTCTCTGAATCCTCAAAATTAATTTATCTTATCTACAGTAATTACACCTACCCAATATCATATACTTTGGATAAGATTTACAATCTCTAGATCTTAGTCAATGGCATGTTGCACCTCAGCCTTTAATTGGCGATATTCGCGACTATTAATTTTCGTGATTTTTACACAATCGCGAAAAGCACGAAACAAAATTGCACGCGAAAAATATCGGGAGTACAGTACATTGAAACCATACACTCTTATATTTCATAAGAATTTGCAATCAAGCCTAACAAATCTATTGGCAAAATATTAGAAGGCCAGCAAATGTACACATGCTAAAGTGATGAAACTTTAATGAATTTTAATTTTGCCTATACTGAGATGTGTTAAACTCTATTTGGGTTAGATTTATTCGGCTACACCCTCTACTTACAGCCTTAACATGCCCCCTATCGGCTATCACCCGCTTCAAAATCATAACAGGTTCCTTTATATCTTCCTTTATCTTCTGTTTAAGAAAAGCTGTTAGCTATCAGCTGTATTTTTGTCAATCAAGATTTCTCTTCATCTGTGAATTACCCAGCGAGAAACCAAAATGGCATTTTGATGGAAAGACACAAAGTACCAGTCATAATCTCTGAAGATTTCCGGGCAAACAATGGCAGCTCTCCCAGTTAGGTTTTAGACTGTCTTCTCATATTTTGTCAATTTTATTCAATTTCAAGTATTGTTTAGAGTTGTGCGTTCAACATATTCGAGAAGTCAATAGCTATAATAAATCTGCAGATTTTGCTCGCATTTATGTAAGCTTTTCTCTTTTGACGGATACTTTGTGTCTTTCCTTGAAATCATGACAGGTGTAACTGATCTACTGAAATCAACTTCAAGTGCTTACTACTGTACTGTCTCCCAATGTGAGCTACATCAGTGCTTTTTGTTGAGAAAATATGTAAGTTATTAGCCGCTTTTTTTGCCGATCAGGATTTAAATTCTCTTTATCTGTCATGTACCTAGCAAGATTCAGAGATTTTGACTTGTACGTCATGTCTTTCCGTCAAAACTTCCATTTTTGGTTTCTTGGTAAAGAGCCCGGTAAAGAGTAGCTTCTCAATGTATAATGAGAATTTGCTGTTCGGCACAGAAGCACCTTTTAATTTTTTTCGATTTTCGCAAGGAGGACACTAACATAATTTTGAAGCGGTTGATAGGGGGCTCTAAAGGCTGTTCTAACATATCAGTCACAGCATCTGAAAGAGCTAGATCTAAGGCTCTAGCTTTAGGCTAGTCTAAGTCCTATAGATCTAGTAGTCTAGGCCTAGAGTCATAGCCCAGGCATAGGCCCGTAAAAATGTAAAGAAATAAAGCTTACAGCATGTTCTATTTCAGTGAATTTGACTCATGTGATACATGTTCCGGGCCTATGCCTAGTATAGTCCCGCAGGACGAAGAAGATAGAATGTAAAAATCAAATTGAAAATCAAAATAATCGAACGAAAAAAAATTGAAAAAGTTGAAAATTCGATTTCGATTCAATTTGATTTTCTGCCATTATAAATGAAATACTGTACTTACCAACATGTTTCTCGGATATATATGTTGTTCTTACTTTATCTTCGCCGAAGATCGATGTTTATTTATATATAACAATCGAATAATCGACATAATTCAAACTCATCACTACGACACAAAAATATATCACTTTCGAAACCATGTAAACTGCTAAGATGACGTCATTTATATCCGGGATTGCTTTGCAAACTCCACACAACAGACTGTCCCATCTTTTCTCCTGCTTTCTCCCGATGCAATTCATACATTACTCGGAGATTACTGTCAAACGTTCCAAGTTTTACAATTTTGGCATGTTTATTACGATCTAATTCCTGCCAGTATCAATGAATAAATCTATTGACCAACAGATTGGAAATATGTATTCCAGCGATACCCTCATTTTGACGAAAGAATGGTACAAATATGTCCACTATTTATCGAGATATCGTGTAGAAAAATTGAAGAAAGACATCGCTTAAGAAATTTCTATTTCTAGACTGAACTGTTCACGCTCGCAAGTGGCATCTCCAACTCCATATATGGGCAAAAAGGTGGAGTTAACAATAAGCAATGCAGGGATTGACACGATTGACACGAAGAAGTCTCGATGAATCTCGCTTAAACTCCGCCCCTTCTTCGTGAAAAATCACGTGAATTCCGGCTTTTGCTGGGACATATCCGGGCATCTCGGCTTCGAACCCAATCAGAAGTTTCAATTTTGACTGGCGCCGCATACATTATCTCAAGTCTCACCCAATATTTTTATGTATACGTTAACAAACATCTAAATCCAGTTTCTATGCAATTGTTTGTAAATTAAGTTCATTCTTTTGAGTTATTGGTCGGATTCGCTCAAAAATATTTAAAATGGTTGAAGGCTTTGCACTTTAATTGTAATCTGAGAAAGGTCAACTGAGTGCTCATCAATTTTTTATAACTAGATTATTTCATTCAATCAACAATGAATTTTATATGACATTACATCAATTTATCTCATTCGATATATTTCTTCCATTGTGCTAAAAACAGAATATATATTTCGTTGTTTTGTTAGAAATGGGTCACCTTGACCTTATATATTCATCAAATATCCGTTCATGTATACAAATTAAATTTTGAGCATAATTGTTATAAACTTTCATTTCTCTGAGAAATCTAAATCTCATCAGTAGTCGAGCTAAATATGTTTCTCTTTCATATAGTTCAATTTTTTGATTGACAGTTCTATTTTTGGAAATGAAATTGATGGCTTGTGTTAAAACTCCAAGGTCAAGCTGATCTGGTCACTCTTTAAGACAATTTGAAAACAGAATTTTGACTGAAATTGATCATTTCTATCTTCATTTTTCTCAGTAAAAACATATATAAAGAGAAAATGACCTTACAAATCTTTTTTAGCTATCTAATATCAGTTCACTTGAGAGGTTTAAATGATAATGAATTTAATTTGAAAGGAGTTTTTTAACAGGTTTTAAAGGACTGTTTTGTCAAAATTTTAAGGAAAGAACAATTTTACAATCTTCACAAGTTCAGAGTTTCACTTGGATTTTATTGTTTTTTGAGATAAACTGCTTAGCTAGGATGAATTTAGGATTTATTGCGAGATTTAATCTTGATAACAACTATCTAATAAAAAATATAAAATATAAATATAAATTCTATCATAAAGATTATGGAGAATTTGAAAAGGATGGATTGTTCTGATACATACTCTACAGAGTAATATTTTAATGCATTAATTTCACAATTTTTTTCTTAAAATGATACTACCATTGCATATTAATGTGTTATATTCTCATTTTTGAAAATTTGGTTTGATTTTTCATACTAATTTTGATTGATCAGACATATTACAAGTATCATACTGTAACTTTACTTCGGTCCAAAGCCTTCTCTATATTCCGGCTTTGAGGAGGAAGATTGAGCTGCCTTAGTATTATAAATATTGTAAATCATTGTGTCACACGCACAGTAAATATGGCATAATAATATGAAATATACCTTTATGTATAGATTTGAAGAACATCAGCTCACATCCCCGTCTGAATCTATTGTTATATTTGATTTCTTTAAGCGAGAATAATTTCAAATGTTATTCACGTCCAGAACCGGAAGCCATTTTTAGCTACAGCGAGAAAATTTCACCATTTGTCAAACTCCGAAATGAAATTTTGAAATATCTAAATCCAGACAAGCAACGCTTCATCCTAAATATTATTAATATTCTTAAAAATATTTATAAAATTTATTAAAAATGAGTTCTAGGTGCGTGTAGGTGCGTGTAGCACATTACATACGAAATCAATGAAGTTTCGTCTAGCTGTAAGCTAGAGACTCGAGTAACTGTAACTGACTCAATGAGATCGAAATACAGTAAAAATCTTGTGCTTTGCCTGATCTAATTTGCAGACTAAAAATTGACATGCCACAAGTAACAACTCGTCTATTAAATAAGAATTCCAAATTTGAGCAAAAAAACTGTCAAAGAGTTTGTGATCCCAATTGAAATAATTGCACTTATGACAAACATGCATAAGATTAAAGAAGCCAAACTATGGGATGGTTTAAAAGCATGCGTGATCTGAGACCTTTTAATACATTTGCTACCTTTATTATTTATATGTCTGTGGCATGGTGTACTTGTGGCATTGTCTTACTAAACAAAGTTTTGTGACTTCTCTTACTTGAATAGTGTTTATAGTGTTTGTTCTACTTCCTCTCTTAGGACAGCTGCCAGCTAGTCGTCTAATACTCGACACACCCGATGGGGAACTAACATTGTAAGAAAATTATTTTACATTTTATTTCAATGCTTTTACGAGAGAATGTTTATATGTTTTCATTTGCTCTATGTTTTTTAATTATTAATATAACTAATTTTGCTAACATCGCTAACATATAAATCTGCTAAGTTAACGAACAACTGTTAAAAGTATAAACTGTACAATTGTATATAGTCATGTTGTACAATTGTACATATAGTCATGTTGAATATTTATACATTTATTAAGGTGAGTCATATTGTTAAAAGGTTAATGAAAGAGTTTAGCTTTTGCATATAATAAGAATAAATATCCTAGAACTGTATAATTTAATATAGAAATTTGGCGATGCATGAACTGGTCACTGATTGGTCAGTTGACAACTGTTATATGTTATGTTACACCAATCAGATTCCAGACATATTTAAAAGTATACGTTAACAGTATGTGCATGTACAATAATTATTCTCTTACTTATAACCTATTGTATTGAATACATTGTATACATATTGTATGTATATGTACATATATATGTATACATACATATTGTATATATTGTATTTATAAGATGATGTGAATTTTCATTGCCAATATTAATGAATATTCTATTGACAGGACTAAACATAAATGTTTGTAAAACTTTGATGCAACTGGTTAGAATTGTTTCTTTTGTGGCCTGTTATTATAGGATGATTTTTAGCCTAGGTGTTATACCTGTCACAATACCGAGTAAAACAAAACACAAGACAAAATAACCTATAGCAATACATTTGTCAAAACTTCTCATTGTTTTTTTTTCAAAATATTTTCTCAAAAGTGGATGAAATGAAACTTTATTCCATTTTCATAATTCCATTTAAAGTTTGTCAATTTGAAAATATGTTTTTCTAAGAATTCAAGTTTTTCCTATTGATTTTCAATTGAATAACATTAAGTTGAATTAAATTTGTTTTATTTTCTTGAATAATATATACATGTATATGTAATGTATATACATTTGTACATTTAAAGTTTGTCAAAATATGTTTTTCTAAGAATTCAAGCTTTTTTCCTATTGGTTTTCAATAGTCCTATTCGCGTTAGGAAATTACTGGTCATTAACATAAATATTTCCCGCAATGCAACACGATAACATGGACAATTTTCTATTGGTCCGCAAAACACAACGTCATAGGCATTATCCCGATCCAACATTAGTACATATGTATAATAATATTTTATAATCCAGACAATAATTAGAAAAGAAGATGGAAATTCAATTTGCTTCGATTATTTTTTCTATGGCGTCTGGGCAAGTTCCGGGAACTGAGCAACTTCTGGGAAATCTGTGACGTCACTTGAATTTTAAACTTAGGATTTTGACGATTCTGGTGAATATATTTTTAAAAAACTTGTCAAATGTCTTTATAATGATCATATCTATCGTATGTGCAAATATAATTCATGATAAACCTCTAATAAAGTCAGAATGCGTCATTGAAAAACACAGCCAATGTTATTCCAATGGGAAAATGCCCGGATGTTGAGAAAGTTGTACCACGAAACTGAACTCTCCAACGCGGAGATAAGAATATTTCGCACGTTAAAAGTTAGCGCGTATAGGTATATTGAATAGCCACCCAATTGATCTAATTCTTAATAGTTCCCTTTCCTAACATTAAGTTGAATTAAAGTTTTTTTATTTTCATGAATAGTTACTCTTATCTGATTTATAAAGAAAAGCAGTATAAAAATAGCATTTCCAAACTCCAGCGAAATGATAAAATGTGAACTTGATCTAAAAATCAGGTTTAAACTTGAGCTCAAAAGTTAGAAAAAACTTTTTTGTTGGTTATTTGCAGTCGGCCAGAATATGATCTCTATGCCCCCAGGGGTCTTTTTGATCATCTGCCCCTAGATGCATCTGATCTTTTGTCCCCAAAGCCTCCCAATCACTTGACCCCTGGACCCTCTGATTAGTGATCACATGCCAGAATACATAATACAAATACCAAGCGTAGTGAGTGAACCTAACACTGTTAGCTAAATAAGTGATGTCCATTTTGACCCAATAGCCACTGTTTGAATCAGCTATTTTTATTCAGATAATTATCTCTATCTAATTTTGAATAATAAAAATAGAAAATATCTCAAAAGATAATTAAGAGTATTGATAAAGCTGGAATTGATTGTTACCTGTGTAGGCCTGCAGCCAAGATTTACTGGGGGAAGCGGTTTTTTCCAAGGGGGAGCTTTTGCCAAGGGAGCTATTTAACAGTTTTGGCAAAAAAATGCGAAAATTGCTCAGAATGGTTTTGAAAGAATTTCTGGCCATGGGCCGTTCCCCCTGGCTATGGGCCTGCTGTGGTTCAGAGGTGGTATTTTTTGGACAAACAGCATCAGGAATTGACTTCCTGTTTGTTTGGGACATCACTTGGCAAACAGTTCACATGCATGCTCCCTTAAATGGTCACCCATACATAGAAATTCTTCACCACAGTAACACCTTTGTGATCCGATTCCTACTGTTGTTACACTCATAATGTGTCAGCTTAAAACTTTTTCGCATTTTTTAAAGTAACTGAGTTTTTATATGAAAAAAGAGAATATATTACATTAAGATTGTAAATGTTTTACTGTACATTATTCATGGGCACTTTCATAAAATATTTTGATTCATTTAGAACTGATCAATTTATGCTTAAACTGATCTTTCAATCAAAATATGCATAATTTTATTTTATTTTGAATGGTACATATGGTTTATTTACTCAGAGGGATAAAATGTAGGTTTTATTCCATGGTAAAATATGATATTGCCTGAAGGGTTATATGATATTCACAAGGGGCATAGCAAATCAGTATTATTATTAACTAAGGTCAATATCATTTTATCGAAGGATAAAACACATATCCATTCCTGACAAGAAATAAACAGTTTATTCCATAACTAATCTATCTGATATATTATAAAGGGCCTTTTTCAGCCAGTCATTCACATTGAAAATTCCAATTTTCACAAGCAATACACTCCAATATGATTTCTTCATGTCATCACAATTTTTACTAGATAAATGATTCATTTAGATTTTATTGCGTTATTATTTCCCTGAGAAAACTTAGTATTTATGGAATATTATAATGTTATTGTATTGTTTGTGTTCTAAACGATTTTTATATGTATATAGTATATCCACTGTTATGTCAATTTACTTTGACACCGTTTTTTTTATTTATTCTAAATTGTATCCAAGATGATATCTTACATAAATTGTACTGTAAAACTAGAAATTTTTGTTTGTTAGATGTTTTTATGAATCTATGAAAGAATATCGTTTTGCAAAATTAACTAAGTCTTGATCCACTCATAGTCCAAATTATCTTCAAATCATAAACATTTCTAGCTGAAACCTCTAAAACTAACTATTGAATGAAGAAATCACAACATTTTTCTTTATAAGATATACAGAAGTGTACATTTATTTTTCAATTTGAATGGAAAGTCATTGTATAAGACAAGTAATATGTAATGTATAAATGCACCTTGGATACTTTAAGCCTTTATAAACATGCTTTCCTGGATAAAATATTTTCTTTTAGGGTATACCCTGCATGCATGCTTGTGTTACAGTAAACAGAATAACAATTGAATCAGTTTTTAAATGTTAAAACCAATTCATCTTAGTTCAGCATTTCTGTTACACACTCTCTCTTATTTTTGTAGAACTTTTTCAAAAACAAAAATCATGAAAATAAGATTTTTAGGGTGGTGCATGTTACACAAAAAATCTTAGATGTTGCTATGTCACAATTTTTACATGTAGTTTATTTATTAAGGAAGGCCAAGCTGAATTAATATCATATTTCCAAACATTGACTATACTAGGCCCTCCTTAATTTTAAATTTGCATTCCACTTGCATGGCTTAAACCTTGACAAGGCTACCATAGGTAAAAAATGTGGTGTACCTAATATTATGTAATAGACTTTAAAGAAGTAAACTTATTGAATGTCTCTCAAATCTGATCTCTTGTGGCATGCTTCAGCTAGCACTATTGACATATCGCGATGCTAAGTATGAGGGTCTTATGGACTGTGTTATATGCAATTTTTAATTAGAAAAAATAAGCTTGATCAAATCATACAAGATTAAATCTTCCTATACTTGTGTTAGATAAAAGCCATACAATTAAAGTGCTTGAATAATGAAAAATGGAGCAATATATAAGAATAAATCCTGCAGAATTTCCAAATGTTTATGCCTACCTGACTGCTTAACAAGATAATACCTGCATCTGAACATTTAAACACTTGGCACTTTATATTATCATTGTTGACTTGTATTAAACAGTGTATTAATTTGTATCTTTTCACTTTTCCAGGCCACCAATCCGCCCTGTTTCTGCTGCCAGATCTCGTCCTTCTTCTGCAGCACGTCCTCGTTCTGCCAACCAAGATGGCCGCCCAACTCTTACCTCAGGGTCAAGGGTTACAAAAACTAAGAAAAAAACTTTCAAAGCTCGGACTCGTATGGAGAGTAGTAGTAGTGAAGATGATGACGATGATGATGATGATTCGGATACAAATTAATGGGCTAAAAGTGCTACAGGATTTCACAATTAGCGTGTGGAGTGAGGAATTCAATCTGTGGCCGAATTGGAGATATGAATCATCCTCGATTGAACCATAATAACTCAACGAAGGCACTGAATCCTGTAACATGTTTTACTCCGTTTAAAATATCATCAATTTTATTTTAAAGATTATCAGTTGAATAATTACAGGGTATTTCATGAACATAGGGAATGTAGGGACACTTGGTCCCTACACATTCTAGGCTCTAAGTCCCTGGAGTGCTGGACACTAAGCCCTTTGGATCATTCTTATCAAAGACCATTGTACTAAGCCACTTTCTGGATACAGTAGGACTACATTGGTTTGCTTGTAGCATAGCAACAAGGCCTATGAGTTACCATGGTAATAATCTTCCATGGAATCCTGAATTTTTATCCATTGCAATAAAGTGAATGTGATATGCTTTAGAATTGTAAACAATAAACATACTAATTTTCAAGGAAGCACTTCATTGAATTTTGCTTCTAAACATTTTATTTAATTTCAACAAAAGATGGCAGGATTAAATGTAAATGCTCTTTTCCATTTTTGAAAAACATCGGTATTCATGTAATTTCTTTGTTTTTGCTTAAAAATGCAAATATTCTATGCATTTCTTGAGATGTTTTGGATTTTTAAAGATGTGGGAATTTTTTGTGTTTATAACAATTTATTTGTTATTAAGTTTGTATTAAGTTTATTATTTTATACTGTAAATGCAATTTATTAAGAATAAACATGTACGTTTAAAATAAACATGTATAGAATAAACATGTATGTACAATTAGGTTATATTGTGGTTCCGTTGAATAACAGCAACGATGCAACAAATGATATGGGTTTAAAATGAAAATTTTAAGTCATGGAAATTAGTTTCATTTTGTTAAAGTCTAATTGAAGCAGATTTGACAGTGATGGTGCAAAAATTCAACTGGTGTTTAAGATACACGATTAAAGTAATTCCTGATAGTTCAAGGTTGTAACCATTACAATCACCAGCAACAATAGATTCATAAATTTATATTTGATAGCCCAACCAGGCCCAACAAGCACAATCACTGAGAACACAATCATCTGAATGTTTGATAATAGAATCAATGTCACAACCAGTTATGTCACAATAAAATGCATTAAGTCATAATCATCAGGAGTACAACCAATGATCCAGACAGCACAATCTCTGACAACACAATCCACATTATGCTTGGTGTCGCAATCATCTCAACCAGTCCCATTTAGGCAATCCAACTAATTTTATTAACAACATTATCAAAGTTACCTTAATAGGTCCTTCAGTTATTATGTCACCACCAAAAGTGGTGACATATTGTTATGGTCTCCGTTTTTTTGTGACGGCGGTTGGCGTCCGGCGTCCGGCGGTTGGTGGTTGGCGTCCGGCGGTTGGCGTCTGTAACAATTTCTTACAACTTCCTATAACTTAACAAATACTGTTTAGACTGACTTCAATTTTTTTCTAAATCATCTACATGTTCTCAGAAGTTCAAATCTGACTTTAGATTTGACATTTGACCTTCAATGACCTTCTCAAGGTCAAAAAGGTCTTTTTTCAACTTGCTTCACATTGACTAAATTTTTTTTCAAAATCATCTACATGTTCTCAGAAATTCAAATCTGACTTAAGATTTGACATTTGACCTTCAAATCTGACTTTAGTTTTGACATTTGACATTCAATGACCTTCTCAAGGTCAAAAAAGGTCAAAAAGGTCTGTTTTCAACTTGCTTCAAATTGACTAAATTTTTTTTTCAAAATCATCTACGTGTTCTCAGAAATTCAAATCTGACTTAAGATTTGACTTAAGATTTGACATTTGACCTTCAATGACCTTCTCAAGGTCAAAAAAGGTCAAAAAGGTCTGTTTTCAACTTGCTTCAAATTGACTAAATTTTTTTTCAAAATCATCTACGTGTTCTCAGAAATTCAAATCTGACTTAAGATTTGACATTTGACCTTCAATGACCTTCTCAAGGTCAAAAAAGGTCAAAAAGGTCTGTTTTCAACTTGCTTCAAATTGACTAATTTTTTTTTTCAAAATCATCTACGTGTTCTCAGAAATTCAAATCTGACTTAAGATTTGACTTAAGATTTGACATTTGACCTTCAATGACCTTGTCAAGGTCAAAAAAGGTCAAAAAGGTCTTTTTTCAACTTGCTTCAAATTGACTAATTTTTTTTTCAAAATCATCTACATGTTCTCAGAAATTCAAATCTGACTTTAGATTTGACATTTGACCTTCAATGACCTTCTCAATGTCAAAAAAGGTCAAAAAGGTATTTTTTTCATCTTGCTTCAAATTGACTAAATTTTTTTTCAAAATCATCTACATGTTCTCAGAAATTCAAATATGACTTTAGATTTGACATTTGACCTTCAATGACCTTGTCAAGGTCAAAAAAGGTCAAAAAGGTCTTTTTTCAACTTGCTTCAAATTGACTAATTTTTTTTTCAAAATCATCTACATGTTCTCAGAAATTCAAATCTGACTTTAGATTTGACATTTGACCTTTAATGACCTTCTCAATGTCAAAAAAGGTCAAAAAGGTATTTTTTCATCTTGCTTCAAATTGACTAAATTTTTTTTCAAAATCATCTACATGTTCTCAGAAATTCAAATATGACTTTAGATTTGACTTTAGATTTGACATATGACCTTCAATGACCTTGTCAAGGTCAAAAAAAGTCATAAAGGTCTTTTTTCAACTTGCTTCAAATTGACTAATTTTTTTTTTCAAAATCATCTACATGTTCTCAGAAATTCAAATCTGACTTTAGATTTGACATTTGACCTTTAATGACCTTCTCAAGGTCAAAAAAGGTCAAAAAGGTCTGTTTTCAACTTGCTTCAAATTGACCAAATTTTTTTTTCAAAATCATCTACATCTTTTCAGAAGTTCAAATTTGACTTTACAAGTTCTCAGAAATTCAAATCTGACTTAAGTTTGAACTCATAATATTGTGAGCAACTAGGTGGTGACATTTTGTCATGTTAATGCCTTGTATTTATTGTGGCACAATCAATGGTTCAACCAGCACTGATAGCGCAATCGTGTCAATGCTTAGAAACACAATTAAAACCAGCAACATCAATGATGGCACAGCACTGGCGGATCCAGATGCTAACAGTGGGGGGGGGCAAATTTTGAGTCAGGAAATTTTTTGGGAAATTTAAGGCCCATTTTTGATAATTTGGCCTAAAAAGACCAAGTTATGCCCTCCCTGGATCAGCCAGTGCATAGTAAAAATTATACTCGCAAAATTAATGCTATTTCCTTGTACATCCACAAAAAGACTGAGAGCACAATCAATGTCCAAACTAACGCAATAACAGGTAATACAGTAAAGATGACAGTGTCAAAAAATTGAGAACCATCAAAAACTCAGATACACATCTATTATCATGTCTTGTCATTGATTTTGTGAGGAAGTCAATTGTTTTGGCTTGAAACACAATAAAATCTTGAATCTCGTTTAGCAAATCAAATGCTGGTTTCTGGTGTTGCTCACTGCTAAGTATAAAAGGCCCGATGTCGGAATAATACCCTAGGGTTAACAGGCTCAAGGCTGTTGTGTCAAGTTGTCAACACCTCTAACTGTTATGTAGCATTAGTAAACACTTATTGATATCCGTAAATCTTCATGTCCTTTAAGCTGAACACTCGTCAAATCAAGGGAAAGATCAATACCCGGTGATTTCAGCGGGAAGTGGCGTTTCGTTCAGTGGATGAGCTGCGCGCGCACGCATAAATGTGATTATCCAATATATATATTTAATCAATTATCAAATTGTTTAAGTGGATAAAGTGGTCACACTTGCTTCAATTCATAGCGAAATCGACGGATAGAAACTGACCGAATTCCCGATATCCTACCCCGTATTACTGTAGGCTATAAGCACAGTGACCTACAGAGGGCGCTATCACAAACAAGTACTGCACGAACCGATAAATTCCCGGGTATTGTAACGCCCTTGGTCAAATCAGTGCTCCTATGCCATTAGCTTGAAGCCACCTATTGACAGTAAGCAACTTCCTTAATCGAATAATTTTCACGTTCTCAATTTTGGTGCAATTAGTACGAAAATAATGGTATTCGCCTAAGTGTCGCTAACTCTGTATTATTTTCATTTTCCAAAATGGCGCCTCCAGGAAATGAAATTTTGTAGGGTCTATTTATATGAGAATTGCATGTGATATAATCGTATCTATTGGATTAAAAATAATCAGATTGTAACTTTATTATCTGGTGTTTTCATTGGACTATATGCGGATAAGATCGACTTCAATGTAAGTACATAAAATGTACATTTAATTCAGCATGGATTTTAATTTTTGTAGCCTTTCTCAACTCATGATCATCATCTCATGATGATTTTAAAGATTTTTGTTATTTTGTTGCTCCGATTTAGTGCGCAAAATGTAAACTTTTATTACCTGCACTTGATTAATGTACACAAAATAGCTGTAATTTTAAATAATTGCCACACAATGAATTTTGTTTGAAGGTCATCAATGAGGATCTCAAATCTTCATCAGGTTATAAATCTGGTAGGTAGCCTAGACTGTATCCTGTATATTTTTTCGTATATTGTCCTCTTACTGAAGATATTCATAAAATGTACAGACGCTTCTTGTAGCGAAGCCATTGATTAGGTCAAGCCATTTTGGCAATGCCAATTCTCACGATAAAGGAGATTTAGCCAGTGACGTCAGTCTATTTGTAAACAAATAACACGTGGAGCGGACGGAAGCGTGTTGATAAATTCCATTTGTGCGGGAATTTATTAGATCTAGTCATTTATTATCATTATCCCGATTAATTTTCTTCATTTATAGTAAATAGAGCGGAGATATTCATGAAGAAGGCCGAGGTAATCAAGTGGTCATGTGTTGTCAAAGTTCAAAAAATTTGCATATCTCGTTTGGATCTCGTGAACTCAAACGTCCTTGACATTGATTTCGCGATGTACTTATAAACACATCCTGAAGTTTTGGTGAGTCTGAACATTTCATTATTTTATATCAACTT